GATAAATTTGATTTGATAAATTTGATTTGAACTGCCAGTTTACAAAAAAAATTAAATGCATTATAATACAAAAAAATAAATAATTGTTAAATGTTTTGGCAATGGCACTAAATTGTTTTGGGACTTAATTGTTTTCAATGGTGGCAGGCTCTTCCTGACAAGTCCATTAAAGACTGATCTAACCACCAGTGCAGAGCTTGCTTCACATTGGCAGCAAATCGATAGAAGTGATTTGAAATAAAAAATAAAAAAACCTGGCTATGAAATAGACTTTATTTAGTAACGTTTGTGATGATAACAGCCAAATTAAAAAAATATGGAGCATAACAAAGTCCAAATTCTCTCTTAAAAGCAAGTCTTCTAACAGTCTGTGAATAATTTTGGTAATCTGTGATGGAGGTACTTGTAGCAAATTAAAAGCAATACATGATTGTTCAACCAGAGATAGCAGAACAACTGTAGATAAGACTGTGCCCAGAATTTAACCTACGTTTGGAACCTGAGGTCAGCAGTTTGATGTGTCCAAACACTTAGAAAAGAGACCGAATCACGTAGTCAGGACTTGTTCCAAAGGCTTATATTCAATTCAGTTTAATTAATATTATTTCGCCAATTCACAACACGTCAACTCAAGGAACTTTCCAGTTCACCAGTTCATCCAGTCAGATTGATTCAAAGTTTTCTATCTCAGAAAAAACAGTTGATTGCATCGACTCATTGACTCAAATACAATCCCTCACACTAAGCATGCTTGTAGTGACAGTGGAGAGGAAAAACTCCCTTTTAATAGGAAGAAACTTTCAGCAGAACCAGGCTCAGTGTGAGCGGCCATTTGCTATATCAAATATTCTTATATGTATCAAATAAATAACAAATATCAATCCCTCTGAAAAGTGAAATTAATCATAATCAGGTTTAGAGATCTCATAGCACAATGTCAAAGATATAAAACACATTTGGATCACTTCTCAACCTTTGCATCTATGCAGATCTTTGTGGAAATCCTGTTTATTCTATATAAAATCATAACATCCTATGGAGAGGATCTAGGTGCCCCCATATTAAAATTACAGTGGATTATTATTACAAAATGCTGCCAATAAAATATGTCTCCCTAATTTGTTTTGCCTTTTTTAAGAGACATGGGTGTTACAGAAAAAAAAAAAAATCCTTTTTTCTAAATCCTTTAAATCTTACCATAAACATTTTGAAATCATGCATTTTGATTCTCTGCTACGCTGCAACGACAGGTCAAACATTACATCTGGATATATGTTCTTCAAATATATTTGCTGGGTTCTGGTTTGGACTCACCGCTCTGAGGAAAACAAGCTGGATCTCTTCGCTGCAGAGTCTGAGAACTGCTCCAGGCTTCCATCAAAGGGCTTCTTTCATGCCCCGCTGAGATCACATGATGGAGATAATCACATTTCTGCCCAATCTTGTGCTTTAGACCCACTGGGCCTGATCTAAATAATGCAGTCTGGGGATCTTAACAAAAAGAAAAACAGTATAAAAAGCTAAACGGCTTTAAATGTAACCGTTGTCCTCCTGTATAAAGGGGATTTCTGTACATTAGAGAAACAACCTTCAGGAATTCAAAAGAAAACTCAGATTTGATTTACTTTTCAGTGTTAAATTAGATCAAAGTTGAGGAATTATACACTTTAAATGGAAAGTAAATACATTAAATGCTTCCTAAAAGCAGATTTGGATTTTTCTTCATCAAATGACTGTTTTTACTTTTCAGACAAGTATGTGAGAACGATAGTTTCATTTGAATCAGAACTTTAAAAAAAAAAACGTTTTTATGATGCATTTTTATTCTATTTAATGTGGTTAATGTTTTTTTTTTATTTTTATTAATTTTGCTTAAACCTACTAGAAAAACTTTTCTGTAAAAATATGCCTATAAAATTTAATAAATTCAACTGCACAAATTCTCCTATTAACAAAAATATCTAAAACATTCAGCTGAAAAGATGCATCTGACGAAATTAAATTATAAAAAAAAAATCAACTGCATAAATGTATGAAGGGGATTTTGTTCCATAATGGTTGCAAGCAAACAACACATTTTGTAAACAAAAATTTGACAAAAAGGCTTTTGTAAATACAAATTCAAAAATATATCAACCAGAAATTAAACTTCTTTATCGTTCTTTATCGTTAAAATGCTTTGAGAGAAACTTTGCTTTAGTTAATCTAACTTTTTTTTATATTTTTTTTATTTTATTTCTTTAAAAAAACACATATATTTATATGACTTTAAAAGTTTTAAAACAAATCTATCTATCTATCTATCTATCTATCTATATATATATATATGTATTTATATTTATTGTCTTTTTCAGATTAAGGTGAACAACTTTTATTCTTTGTCAATTCATAATCAGAATCGGGTTTATTACAATTGTTAGTGAAGGAGTTCACAACTAGGAATTTTGGTGGAATTGTGTCTTACTGATCTATTTTATTCTTTCCTCTGGGGTGAAGAGCTTGAATATGTTGCTATTAGTCTGCATGGACATTGGCAGAATATAAATATGATATAAACCCAACTCTTTCCAAGTACTGGTGTGTCACATGATTAAATGTCCGTATTTGATTGGCTGAGGGAGCCACTGCTGGTGGCATAATCAAAGCAAATCCACACCTCCATCGATCCATTTTCTCCCTCTTCATCCGTCAGGGTTGCAGTGAGATTGGTGTCTATCTCCGGCAGTCCACTGGTGAAAGGTAGTGTTGCGCTGATGCCATTTTTTGGCCCCGATACCGATACCCGATATCAGGCTGTGCAGTATTAGCCGATACCATCTGTTTGAAGTTGATGTGTGTATATATGAAGAACTGCATACTACCTGGATGTAAAATAATTGCCATCATGGCTTTGTTAAGCTGCTGCCTACCTTTGTGAAGCAGGAAAGTGAATCCAGTTGAACTTTTTTTTGCCTACCTGGAATGGGTGACAATAGTTGAATAAACTTTTTGCTCTAAAATGGTATCGACGCCCTATTTGTTGGTACCCGCTGATACCGATACCACCATTTTAATGCTGTATCAGGGCCCGCCTGATACTGGTATCGATATCGGTGCAACATTACCTGAAATACGAGAAAACAAGGTTTTCCGTTTCAAAAAGAGAGTTTACTCAGCCTCTGTTTCTGTTGCCATAGTAACATTCTCTTCAGGGCTAACCTGGTCGGGTTAGCTCTGCAGGTTTTCTCCAAAAAACTCCTCCATTGTCTCCGCTCTCCTTACAGCCAATCACGCCGTTTTATTCCCTGATTACGTCAGGCTTCATGTGCGTTTGATGAGAATCTTATTAAACACCGATCAGCATTTTTTTTACTGAGAAATATTTATCAGGAGAGGATCATTTTATTTCTATTCATCAATTTTTACTGAAATAACGTTCAGATTACACATAAATAGATTAATTACTTCCGAGAGTGTTGGTAAGGAATTACCTTAGAGTAGGATTAGGATTAACTCAGTGAAAACAACCTACTGAGTCTAGTGGCGCATTCTGAAGCCATTCTACGCGATTGATAGCCTAACTAGTAACGACCATTTATTGGGATGATAACATCCAAAGCGGCTGCAAACAGCCACCCTGTGTAATGGAAGACGGAAACAAACTAAGAACCCATTGAATGATGAACAGGTTCCATCTATTAGAACGTTTTTATGATTCAAATTCACCTGCTGCCAGATGATTGAACCTAAATACATACACTGATCCACTATTATTCAAGAAATAAACCCATATTATTATTGTGGTAACAGCAGAATATGGCAAGCCATTTTGATATGTTTTAGTTTTACTGAATATGTATTCCTGATATCTGAAAAAACATTTTTTCCTTGTCAAAATGAGCATTTCAAACAAAATGGCATTCCTCACATCTAGAATAAACATCTGGAAGTCTAGAAATTAATTTTATATCTTATATTCCTATTGTTACTTATATTATTTATGCATTTTTATTATTTTGATTATGAAGAAGTGTATTTCAGATATCATAAACACATATCCAATCAAGCTGATAAATGTCAGAATGGCCAAAAAGTATATAACTCTTAATATCTTAATTCTTACTAGTATAATTTTTATTTTTTATTTTTTTTGCATTTTCTGAAATTCAGTTTCTGCTGCAAAAATGTCATTTAGAAAATATATCATTATAGTTCCCTCTAGGAGTGCAGTTTTGTTATTGTTATTTTAATGATCTGCAAATGGAACAACAGAAAATGTTTTTATTAAATGTACAAATTGCTTGCCATAGCCGACTTCATATAAACCTATGCATTCCCTCGTGCAGCAATCTTCTCCTTTGCCATCTTCGTCTGCTTTGTGGCTGCAGCGCTGTTTCTGTATCTTTTTAACACGTTCTCCTTTTTTTTCATTTATTCATTAAAATATCTTTTCTGTTGCCTGTTGTCATGGTGATTCATTGATTCCGGGTTCTATCGGCGCTCAACTCTGAGCGGACCTTCTAAGAGCTGGTCAAACTAATTCAAAGCAGCCGTGGTGGAACCGAAAACTCAGAGTTCCTGACTTTAGGCCAGATTCATTCAGAGTTGAGGGATTTGAATCAGGCTTTGTTAAACCTGCTTCGTGAAACCGACCCCAAGTAACCTAATGGTGTTGTTTTTGGATTGTGGGAAGAACCTGGAGTACCCGGAGAGAACCCACGCATGCACAGGGAGAACATGCAAACTCCATGCAGAAAGAATCAAACTCTGGATCTTCCTGCTGCAAGGAAACAGTTATATAACCGTCTGGATCTCCACTTTTTTAGGCAGATTTCTGCAGGTAAATTGTTTTATTTGTGAATTTTCAAAAGCTAATTCTGTGTTAGTGAATTCAAAGTAAAACATATATATAACATATATTTACACAGGATTAAATTTTAATTAAAAAAAAGATTGAATTCTAATGATTCTCCCAGAGATTATAATATAACAAAATTATTTTTATTTACGCATCATAAAAACGTGCCCTGAACAGTTAGTGAGCTGAATTGTTTGCTGAGTATCATTACATTTCCCACTCAGTAGTGATGTCTTTTAGAATACACCTCTTTTCTTGCACCAATATTAATACAGATGGTTAAATAAACAGTAACTGGCAGTGAGGCTTTTAGCAGCAGAAGCTTCTTCTTTACCTTCTTCCATATTCTTCTTAAATGCACAGTCCAAATGATGACATTGTAATCCCCAAAAACAAGTAGTGTTTCTAAATATAAGAATGTTTACAGATCATACGGTCTGTCATCTCTTCTCTATTTTCCATTCAAGTTCTGTACAGATTTGACTGTTTTCACTCCAATAAAAATTAACTAATACATAATAAAAAATATAATAATAATTGAACTTTATTGATCTCACAATGGAGAAATTTACCTCTGCATTTAACCCATCCCCTTGGGGAGCAGTAGGCTGCCATTGTACGGCGCCCGGGGAGCAGAGCGGCAGTCTGTGGGAGTGGGGCTAGAATCAAAACCTCAGGAATCCAAGTTTTTAACCACTAGGTTGCCACTCGTGTAAAAAATACTTTTTAAAAAATACTTTCAGTGTGTAATAAAGTGTAATAAAGTTGCTCTGTGTGGCATTTTCACAATTAAATATAAAGTTTTTTGTTTTTTTATCCCAGTGGTTTTTAGCGAGTAGTCTTGTCCTGAGCATCCGTCCTTCGTCATGCATCCCTGCAACGCCTCCAAACCTCGTTCTTAGAGTTTCACTGAGCAAACAAAGCGATGGCCTTTGCCGCTCTTGCAATCTCTGATTTGCCACTTGGCTCTTCTCCACACCAGCACACACTTCCGGTTGCCTTTCATTCTGGAGCGGGGAGGCGCCTTTTTCCAGTTCGTGTAGCTGACGGGTTCGCCGCCCGCCCACTCCCACAGTCCTCCACCCTTTCCGTTGCTCAGACCTGATGATAGATGATTGAATACATTTTTTTTATTTACACATAAATGTTGATGACATCAAAACAAGAAAAATCAGTTTAGCAGACTGAAAATCCCTTTAGGTGCCTAATGTTGCTGTGCCACTTTATTATAGATTCTGAGCTTTTAACTATGGAGTGAATTTTCCTCCATTATTGTTGCAAACATTAAACGTTTGACTTTGAACTGCTGAAAAACTCTAAATCAAGTTACAGACTCTGCATCACACTGATAACATCGAACCAAAATTCTGCATATTTGCACCAAAAATTTGTCCTGAAATGCTCTGAATGTCCATATCGATGCGTTTTTTGCACCATGTTTTTTCTCCCACACTGTTTACATTGATCACTGCTGCACTTTATGGAATGGAAATGTCATGATAATAAGAGTTGTCTAAGTCTAAACACAATTTCTGAAAAAGAAATGAGAAAATAAATTGAAGTGGACATGGCTGACTTACAGACTTATTTGGTAAGCCCTAGTGCAAAAAAAAAAACGTCACTTTTTTTCTGTCCCAGTCTTCATTTGTTAGTTGATCAAACTCTGCCAAGCGCTCTGCTAAACCGGCATCAGAAATCCCGGCAGAGTCTGAATGGAGCAGACTGGTACTAGCAGTAGACATTAGGGATGGAACGGTTTATGAAAACCGTTCGGTTCGACTGTCTCGGTTCGGTTTGCGTGTGTTGCGTT